ACTATTTTATCATAATCATGAGTGAACATATTTTTTTCTTTAAGAAACCAATTTTTTTAAATAATACCAAGTAACGTGAGAACAAATCTTACAACTAGTGGTAAGCCTGTCCATAGCTGCTGCAGCGCCACTCAGGGCTTTAAATCGTAAATATCTGAAACCACGGGCGAGCACTTGTTCGGGCGGCACGGGCGCACTAGGGCGGCCCTCTTTCCACGGCGCATTTCCAAGAAACGCGCGGTGCGGGCCGCGAAGCGGGCCACGGCCCATGTGAAGCCGTTTTGAGGTTGCAGAAGATTTAAAGCTTACGGTACGAAATATTATTATGAGCGTACACTATAATATTTTGCAGAAGGCTAAACGAAGTGAATCTCAAAATATACTAAATCTGTGTACGCAAGAAAATGGGTCGCACTTCGAGCAACTTACCAGTTAATTTAATAATAAGTAACATTATAATTTATGATTACATACTTTCGGTAACAATCCGAATAGTATGCAAAAGGTTGTAATTTGCATATTTACTGAATACCTACATGTGTGCCAGAGTCGACTTTAATATTATATTATTATTGATTTCGTGGTAATTTTTAGTTGTAAGATCCAATGTTATTGGAGAGGTTTTATCCTTATTGTTGATCTTATCGAATAATACAATAAAATGGTGGAAGTTTACTTTTTTGCATTTTTAGTTGATTGTATACCCGGTTCAAGCAAGCTTTTCAAAAAATCTGTGAAAGGAGGAAATAGGTACATAGAAGGTTCCGTTTAAGAGTCAAATTAGCTATCTTAAGACAGTATTTAAAGTTCTTCTCAGGTACTTCCCCTTCATGTCCCATTAATGTTTTCCCTGCTAGTTGGAATAAATGTAACTTTTTTATGTTGATTCGACTGTCCATGGCGGTTGTAGTACCACTCAGAGCTTTAAATCACAAAGATGTGAGGGGCACTACCACTGTGCCAGCCACTTTGAGACATAAGTTGATAAGTCCCATGTGTCTGTGATTTCACCAGCACCCTCTTACCCTTCAAAATCGGAACGCAGTAGTGCTCACATTACTGCTTGGCGGCAGAAATATGTAAGGGGCAGCACTTCCCTGGACGAACTCTTTCACATGGAGCTCTACTGCTACTAAAAATATTACGACTAATCACTGCAATTTCTATGACTTATAAATTTGTGTTTTTTTCAACTTCCTCTACAGAATTTCTATCATTTGTTAAAGCGGAATAATGTAGGTATTTCATATCCCTCACTCGTCCTATCGTCGTCGATTTTGGTAATTTTTTTTAAAATGGTGTATGAATATCCAACTTCGCGATAGAGACACCTTGTGACTTTAGGACACTACAGTAGCAAAATCGTCAGGGACACCTTGTGTATTCAGCACGTATGACGATATATTATCAATGTCACAATATTACAATTCACAATATTAGGTAAGTAAATTTGAAAATAATAATTAATATAAAACCAAAATGGTGTCGCAAAAAAATATGAATAATTACACAAAATATTTCTAAATAAACGTACATTAATATAAATAAACTCAAGTTAAAAAATTGCGTGTGTTGCCAAAAGTAGTAGAACCATGGTTGTTTGAATACCATGTTAAGAGCTTTCGGGTTAGTTAAACATACTTGTATATTGGGGTAGTTCAGTTTTAGCTCAGAATACAAGTAACTATAGGCAAAAGGTCATAATTTTCTTTAAGACTAGGTACAGATACGCTAAATAAATGGATTACTCTGGAACTTCTTCTGAAAAAAACTTAAAACTTCTGACAATTATGGAGTTTATTTTTTATTTACTGAAAACTTTACATCTACCATTACAGTTATAACTAATGCGATGGTGTACAAATTCATAGTTACACAGCCGTAACTCAAAAATGGTGTAATTGCGAAAATTCGCTTTGAAAGTTCAAAAATTACTGAATGGAATCAATAAATTTATATTCTGGTTTATGAGAGGATAACTAAATATTATTTATAAATAAAAACAATCCCATTATTCGCAATAAGATTAATTTGGTTTTTTTTTAACTTTCAAATTGTATCTTCTCAATACCACCAATTTTGAGTTACAACAGTATTTGGTTTCCTGTGCGATTATGTAATTACTCATTACCTACTTGAAAACAAGTCTATTCTATCTGCAATTTCATTCAGGATTCGCAAAGCTCGTGTGAACGGGGCCTTCTGGCTCAATAGTATAGTGCTATGGAATCGTTCCTAAGGTGCAAGTTAAATGTTTTTATATCCTCTATGTAGCGCGCGGCAACAGTTTTTTAACGAGCTCCTACCGGCAAACCGGACCGAGTGCCTGATTGCAATGTTATTGGAACTCGCGACTTTGTTGTTTTTTAATTCTTGTTAGATCGGCCTTTAAATAGATTTTATGTCACAGATTTTCTCATCTTCGTCCCTAACTATAATATACAACTCTAGTGATTGGTTCTGTACAACACGTACCTACTCCCATCTTACCCCTCCCATCTAATTTGATCTAATTTCCTGTACAAATCAGCATGAATGTGACTTCATAATTTATTTGACTTAAATATCTTTTACATGACATGTCAATGTATGTCTGAGGAAGGTGGACCGTAGAGGTTGGGTGCGAGCAGCACAGGACTTTTGAATTGGTGTGCTCTGGGGAGGTGTTCAGTACTGGATGCATATAAGCGGATATGATAACATTGTATAATTAATATCTCTTTTTACACTTTCTGCAATAATAATAATTAATGCACACATGAATGAATGGATGAATGATATTTAATTGCGCGACGTACGGTTTACAAAATTCGAGACTTTCATACTTGCCAAAATTGCAATAAGAGGTAGAAAAATTATGAATTTAGAAAAGTTGCGGAATTTGTTAAAGAAAACCTGTATATGTATGGACGAGCATACCAATTAAGTAACATTTGATTATTTTATTACCACATACCCTGCACCATAGGCAAAACCAGCACTAGCACAAGTGGCGCCCGCCCGGGTGCAATCATTACCGTGGCGCTCTCTAGTAGGAACGCGATCAAAATGGAATACGGACAGTTACATTTTCCAAAGTGATCGGAAATTCGGGTGCAAATGGTGCAATTATAAATGATGTTTGAAAGCAATAGCCCGTTTACTTCACTTGCGCTGCGAGCGACTCAGGTTGTTTAGAAGCGCCGTCTCGTCGCGAGCGGCACTCGGCGCCCCCTAAAAATGCTTTTCCACCGGCGAGGAGAGACGAGACGAGGCGATGCGAGCACTTGCGGTTTCGCGCGAGCACACGCGAGCTCGCGCTATGGTTCTGGATAGTGAAGACATAGTGCTGTTCAATTCGTCTAGCGATAAACACGCGGTTAAAGTACCATGTCCCGCAAATTCTTACTATTAAATATGTTAACGGAAGAAGAATCAGATGAAGATACTGTAAGAAGGAACAATCATGTTGTAATATAAGCTGTTTCTACCCTCTAAGATAAAATAAATAAATAAATAAAAAGAACTTGCTTGTAAATATTTTTTTCTTATGACCTTTTATCCCAGGGCAAATATTACGAACTAGCAACATACACATAAAAAGTGTACAACTGGCGCTGGTATGTTTACATTATATTGCAACTATATTATGTGTATATAGTTTTGAAAACGATGCAATGTTTTCAAAGTGGTTACATAATTATGATAAATTTCACAAACCTAATCGTGTTCATTGTAATGCAAATATAAATGTATAATATGCATTGTATAAATATTTAGGAAAATGATATGGATACATGTATGACACCAGGACTACATATTTTTCGTTGACTGTAGTTTATTTTTCTCTGAAATAAAAGTATGCCTTTTTGAAATGGTGTCGTGATTACATATTTTTGAAAACAGCCGAAGTCCATGTTTTGAAATATGTAGTATTTACATAATTTCGACAATGTGTGAACGTTTACATTTCAATGCACGCGACTGTATCCCACAATCTCGCGATTGACATTCATAGCCATCGCAAGCACGCGCAAGCACGCGCGAGCTCGCGCGATATAGTAAATCGAGTTTCCGTTGCAGAGTTAATAAAAAATCTATATAGGCAGCAATACGGTTCAATGTTATATTAACAAATATTTCAAATCTCGTCTCGCCCATCCTCGTCCATCCGGACCATTTCCACCGAAGATGCGCTAGGAGAGAATTGATATTTTGCCATACAAGTTTTAAAAATCGTCTCGCCTCGTCTCGCCTCGCCAGTGAAAATACACCCTAAGACCTATGTGTGTCCATGGCACCCGCGATACTGGGTTTCCCTGTGGGGCTATCAGTGTGTGCGCGTTATTACTATATTATATTACCATAGGTTATAACGTAAAATATATTGGAGACTTATTGCTACCACTGGTGGGAAATTGAAGGATCACGGCGAAATTTTAAAGTTATTTAACCATGTAAATAAAACCTACAAGAGAATAATTTAGTAATCAATGAAACAACATAACCTATCGTTCTGTTTAAATATGACGTTATGAAAGATAAATAAACTAACAGATGTATCATACTAAATATGGAGTTCGTCTTATTTACACATTCGTGGAACATTCCTGTCGACACCTTTTGTAAATTTCATGTAGAATGTCCGAGTGTAAAAAACTTTACTGAAATTTATTATGAAACTAATAAATATATTATGTATCAATTAATCAAACATTGTCTCGTCATATTTGTTTGTATTGTCGACGCAATATGACTATTAAGAAAACTGTAAAATGGCAAGTGTGATAAACCAATAATTGATTTGTTCAGCACCGTACACAAATGTATGGTATAGCAATAAAAAATATATACATACCTATACTGTTATTTAAGGTGTATACTTAGAACTTGTACATTAATGCGAAAGATTTGCGTTCCATCGCAATACTCATTGATGAACGGATGGCTAAAGTGGCACGCGAGGCGAGGCCTTCGAGTGCAGCGTGCGGATCTAAGCAGCCGCAGCCGCAAGGCAGTCGCAGAAAGACAAGCGCGCGCGCACCTCGCTAACTCACGCGGCTGCGCAGGCGCTCTTTTCCAATTTCACTTCAGAGCAAAAGGATTTTTTTGTGTATTTACGTGTCGTGAATTGTATGACAAGATGATTTTCAATTTGAAAATATTTGGTAAGACTTCTTTTATTATATGTCTTTATAATAATTATTAAATACTTTGCTGACCTACCCTGCCAAACTTTAGTAGCTAGTGAGATTTTCTGGAACAATGAAAATAATTACGAAGATTGCTCTGGAGAAACCTTGGGTTCTTTACACATAATAGAAGTTAAAAATGGTTTAACGCTATTAAAACAGTAATTATATATTGTACATTATTCTTTGACGCACTATATTTTGAGTTGCTAATGAATTTTTGCATAATAAAATCAGATTCATTACAATTAACAGAAATGTTTAAAGCAATTAACAAAATTAGCAAACCATTAACTTACAATGGCGCCAAATAAAAACCTAAATTATTCAACCACAGGTCTAAACTTTGAACATTCTAGCAATCGAAACTTTATAACCATGAACTAGATATTACTGTGCAACGTCAAAATGGTTCGTTTAATTGAATTTTATGGTGTCAATTTTTCCATACGAAATTACATTCCTTTATACATTTTACAATTGTTTACGATCTTCTATATCATATGCCATAATTATAAAACATTTTGCCAGCGGTTTTACAAGCGAGACTTATGGGTAAGTACCGGCTTGGAATTAGCAGCATTACACTGACGTAATTGTATTTATTGTAAAGTTGTAGGAATTGGATTTGTTTTGATTTTTTAAATTTTACTTCAAATTTATGACGTGTTAACTAAACTTTGTTTAAAATATACATAAATTTAAAATTGCTGCCAGTTTTTTTTAAAACTTGAACACTTGCTATGTTATAAATGTGTTAATATACTTTCTTAATTAACATTTTGCCAAAATTGCAATTACACCAATGTACCACCAAAAGAGCGAAATGATCGCGAAATTTTTTTTATACTTATTAATTTTGTTGTCTACTGTTTTTTTATGTAATAAACAATTTTTAATGAGTTTCATTAAATATTTTTGCGTATTTGAGTGTGAAAAAAATAATGCATTGTAATATTGATGGTAATGATTTTACTACCAGAACATTAATTTATTTTTTGAAATTATTCCACTAGTTTATAATAATTATTAATACAAAGATCGAACACAACAGAGTTAGCAGACCTTACGATTTTTTCAATGTAGTTGGTTGAACTGGCAGTACCTGACTATTGCATGCAAAGGCGGCAAACGCCTGTGACTTACCATGGCCTTTTCAATGTTATATCCAAGGGTTTCCGGAAGACCCTTACTTAAATTCCCTTAGTACCTATAATAAAGTCGCATTTGATCAAAAGTGCTTTTATCACATGAGTCGTAAAAAATAATACGAAGTACTGAAACATAGCATATGTGAAATTATATAACTCTCCTATCCAAGCTTAAAATCATCGACTAATTTCGTTCTGAGTATTATTATTAAACCTCTTTCCTGAAAAGTTGTCATTTTGCAGATTTAAATTTAGTAGCAGTAGAGCTCCTTGTGAAAGAGCTCGTCCAGGGAAGTACTACCACCTTACCTATTTCTACCGCCAAGCAGTAATGTGACCACACATTACTGTGTTCCGGTTGTGAAGGGTAAGGGTGCTGGTGGAATTACAGGCACGTGAGACTTGTCAACTAATGTCTCAGGGTGACGGGCGAAGTGGCGATGCCCCTAGATCCTTATGATTTAAAGCTCTGAGTAATACTGCAACTGCTATAGGGAGGCGTGTGGTTTACTACTAGGCGCACGACTTGTTCGTCCCGTCACTTGGAAAAATACAAAAAAAATTGTGATCTTATTAACTTCAATGGTGCGAAGTAATACTACGTAAAGGGTAGTTCCCAACTTGATACTTGGACTTTTTTTCAACGTGTTATTCTCAGTACTTGTCAAGTGACTCAAAATGCCCAATTATTTACATAACATGAAAATATGAAACCAGCATTGCGGAAAAATTCACAATATAACGTATAAGTATAGCTACCTGTACAAATACCTACAAGTCAGTATTTCGTTGTTATTCATACGGCTATTAAACTGTAATTGTTCGTCGTTTATTTTTTTTATGACTAATACGCATTTATAGGGGATGGTCCTTGTCAACTGGTGGTCGTACATATAATAAATAATCAGTACAGAGTACTAAAAATACCGAGATCCAATTTTTACATCCAAGAATTACATCTATTTACCAAGTTTTATTGAAATCGGTTACCAGAAAGTGCGTGAAAACAGTTTCATCCCCTAGTTTGCCACCCCTAGAATTGAAATATTTTCTTCAAATTTCAATGGGACCACTACTGAGGTACCTTCTTTCAACAAAAACAGAATCATCCAAATTGGTTCACAAATCGGTTATTGTGTAACATGCACACAATAAAAAGCAAAAAAAAATCCTCCTTTTTTGAAGTTGGTAATTGTCTTCATGGTATGGCTTAATTATTTTAAAATACAAATTAATATTTTGCTTAGGAAACCAAAAATTTTGCGATTGTAATTGTTTTTTTAATACAGTTGCTCAAAACGTGGTATTTTTCGTACTACAAATCTAGTAGCACTAGTGCTTTTTACATTTCATTTTCATTTCATTTTTTTTTTAAATTTACTGTTGTTTCAAGTCTTGAATAAGGTTGCATATTTATTTAATATTTATGTGCTTTGTGACGTCAGTAATTCGTTATTAAAACTTAAATTTGCACAAAAACATCTTATTTGTTTAAATTGCATAGGTGTTTTATAAAACAACGGGTTACATTTAAAAACATCAAAATATTTTCCATGAAGATGGCTGGTTGAGTATTAACAATGACCGGAGGTGAGTATTACGCGAGACCGCTGCGCGCTTCGCCACTAAAATAGTAATTTTAATGTGGCTGAATACTGGCAACAGTTGCCACTGTACTCTGAATTTTTATCAGACAAAAAAATAAAAAGAGTTTTTTTTAAATACTGTTTTATTTTACTTTCATTGTAGCTTTTTCGCAAATATACTAAAGAACGTCGTTTGATACAAGTGCGGATTTGTCATTTTCACTTGTCTCGAGTCTTGACATGAAAAATAACTATTTTTTTGTTAAGTGTACCATTACCAGCTGATTTTAAAGAACCGTAAAGTGTAACGAATTTGGTTGGTTTTTCCAAAACTATTGTTAGTCTGGATTGATTTGTTTTTCACTTATAATGACTATAGAGTGTAGTAAAGACCTAATTAATCTCTGTAAACATTAAGGTGACCCCCGCCAAGTTGTGAAATAACAACATTGTTGTTTAAAAATTACCACTAGCGCCATTGACTTACAACAAATCAATGACTAGCACCATTATTTCGCGGTCCCCAATGGTTGACATTACTAAATGAATGTATTTATTAAGAACTGGATTTAAAGTGCGAATCAATCGGTACTGTACACATGGGCGTCAAATTTAGAGGCTTAAAATAGTGTTACTTTTCCTTTTATGATATTTGTGATTTGTTTTTTTTTAACTTGTCTACAGAGGAAAGGATCGCTGATTTTAAATAATACAAGTTACGATTTTACCTAGAAATTAGGTAGTTTAGATGTCTTAATAATTATTATACTAATAACGTTATAGCAAGATCTTATTTGTACGGTCCTAAATGAAATACTTACAAAAATATTTTCTCTCAAACATGCTCGGAAATGTTTTCATTACTTTACTTTCCAAAAACGAACACGGAAAGTTCATCATATACGGACCGTGCGACTTCTTCCCGACCAAGACCTGCAAAGTATATATGAAAATCCATTACTATCCACTTCTGTAAATTTTTAAAACTACCTATTAATAATGAACTATGTAAACAGGCAAAAGAAAAACTATACGCCAACTGTTCAGTGTTCTAAGTTGCGAGAATTGATAATACCTACCTGTGCCGCGTACGTAAAAAAATTAGAAAAGGACTGTAACACTTAAACTAAAGGGTTTTAGCATTCTTTTTTTACTTTGGTCGCGAGAATGAGGATGGTGAGAAAGAAAATACAGTAATAGATACACATTCAAAAACATCATCAGAAACTCAGCAGACTACTATTAATGTGCCTGGAAAAACAATAACATATTCTTTGAGCAATTGTCCTACACTAATATTATTTAATATTTTCTTACTTTTTCTATTAAACACCTTTCTCTCTTTAGTCTTTATTTCCTTACATTGTTTGAGAAAAATACGGCGATTGCTCGACTCGTATTAATACGCGAAGCGAGGCCTTCGCTGCCGCTTGTCCTTGTAACTCATACTCGTCCAGCAAACTCTTACTGCCAGGCCTCTGCAATAATGTACTATTTGAATTTAAGCACTTTTTATCAAAAAAATTCTGTAATGTTCAATAAAGATCAAATACTATCAAGTTCGTAGGTTTTCGCGATTGTTATATATATTTTATTTTTATTTATTTATTCCAATTGCAACGGATATATTACAATCTCCAACAATATCCAATTAAAGTAATTAGCAAGAACAATGACAACCATAATAATGAAAAAAACGTTATATTAAACATGAATAAAGACAATAATTATGAACAAGTGAATTATACAATAAATACATAGGATTTGAAACAATTTTTATTCGGACCCAAATCGCGCAGGTGTATTTATTTTTTCCATAGATATAGAAATTTTCAAATAAACCGACGTTTTAGGTCCTTTACAGGTCACGGCTGACTGAGATGGTATTGTGTGTCTAATTTACGTAAATATTCGCGATTTCTTTTCTATTTGGAATACTCGTATATAGAGTTAAAACATACGTCACATGTTATCTATGATGACTAGTGTCAATCTATAAATATGCCCTTGTGATTTATTGAGGTTTCAAAGATTTTAGAGATAGTAAAGCCAGCATTTTTATATTGTGATTGAATATAATCTTAATAAAGTACTTGATACCAATGCTCTTAGATATATCTTCAGTGTTATGTTATGCGTAACACGTATTTTGTCTTGCTACTCGATATAAGTATTTACTGTGAAATATGTTTAATGTAATGAAATATTTAAGTAAGGTATTCAACTTTTCATTTACGAC